GCTAACGTTGTAACGTTCTAATGGATATATCAGCATTACACACCAGCACCACAATCAGGACACCATCAACTACAACAACAACAAAAACAAACTTCAACTTTAAACACGTAAAATTTAATTGCGCATAATTTCAAGCAAAATAAAGCGAGAAAGCAATTTGCACTTGTTGGGAACGCCTCAAGGTCTGGCAGTTCAACAAAAAAATAAATAAATTCAACAGAAACGATTGCGAAACAAATCCAAATTGAAATATGCGGTTCACGTCAGGTTGGGGCTGGGAGCTGGGAGAGCAGGGAGGGAGCAGGAGGAGACGCAACTAAAATAGAAATTGTAGTGCAAATGTTAAAAAATTCTCGTGACATATCACAGGAATGTTGTCTCGCTGTCTCCACTGCGCTTCTTGCCGTTGCAAATAGTCGCAGCCAAAAACGCTTCCAGGCCAGAATTGGCCACAACATACTAGCCTGAATATTCTGTTGATGGCACCGAAAACGAAACGAACAAATTCGACGACTCTTGAAAAGTTGCTTGCCTTGGACTAAATGCTGTGGTCAGCAACATTGTGCCTCTGCTGTGGGCAGGCTATAAATCATATTAGCTGGCTGGCTGGCTGGTTGGCCGGCTGGTTGGTTGGCCGGCTGGCCAGCAGGGCGTGGTGTCGGGTTTTCTAAAGAATTTCGACTGCTACTGCGATCAGCTTTCAAGAATGTGAATCATTGGCAAAAGGTGAAGCTGCCCTGATGATGACGACGACAACAGCAACAACAAGAAACACCAACAAAAGATTGCTTCAGCTGGAGAATGCCAATGGCCGTCGGGGCTCAGCTTTCAACACGGGGCGTCAAACGGAAGCCGCATTAGTTACAAAAATATATATATATATATCAGGAGAGATGACCGACCAAAAAATTATCATACAAACTATATATACGTATATATCGGGTTATTCAATTACTTGTTGACACTCTGCCCCTAGTGAAAGGCCAAGCTGCAGGGACACGAGCCGCAATTATCACAATACTCAAGGCAGCGCATTGGGATTCCTGTGTTGCAAGCATGCCACATGACGAAAGCAAATATAATAATGACTTTAAAATCTATGTTTTGCTTGTATTTAAATTATATTTTTTACGTTTTTCACGTTGTGAGAAAACGTCTAAATTCTGAGTAGTTTTTAATTAAATTCCCCAAACATAAATATTTTTGAACAGTTCTCACTGTTGAAATTTTGTTGCTCAGAATTTATAGACACTGGAAATTTCGGTTGCTCAGAATTTATATTGCATGATAAATTATTTCGTTTTAGTAGTTTCGACTCTTAAATATTTAAAGAAGTATATATAAAATGCATGGAAATTATTGTTCATTATTTTGAAAATAGAAAAACAATTTTTATTAATGGAATTTAAATCATTCTTATAAATTAGCCAAGGTGTTCTTCATTATATTATTTGTTGTTATTTCATTATTTTAATTACTTTGAATAACTTAAACTTATAATTTGCAAACTGAAAATGTTTTTAGCCTGATGAAAGTTGAAAGTTTATTTTGGCAAAATTTACGTTTGGTCTACCGAGACAGATTTTGAAACATTGCCAAAAAGGTAGCGCCCATTTCACTATAATATCGGACACGTTTCGTGGCAAACGCCGAAAAGCATTAAAAATGCCATATAATGTTTATTTGTTTGCGTAAGCATCATTAAATTTACAATATAATGTAATACGCTTAGCGTAATGTGCAGCACTATTCAGATTTTGGTTCTTCTCTCACAGTTAAACTTTGCACAGTATAGTTTTAAAAACAAATTATTTCTTGTATTCGAATACAGTCGGAAATGTTAAATTTTTAAAAGTTCGTTTGATGTTCATAAAATGAAAGCTATGTTAAACAGAAAAGGGGAACATTTTGGTGTGTGCATTTTGCAGCTGCAAAAAGTTTTCCAACTGCACCAAATTTATAAAGACGTGCAACTGTCAACGCAATTTTCATGGCTGTCTGTCAAACAAATAAAAAGTTGCCAAAACTTGTGCGCATAAATAAAGCGAGCGAATGCGCGTTTTAGTGATTTATATGATGTACGCGGAATATAAGTAATATTCGCAGTGTGTATGAGAAATGGTCTCACTATTTATAGAGCAAAGTGCAGTGAGCGTTTCTTAGACTTCAACTTTGTTGTGCAGTGTAGATTATTAGTACGTTTGTATGTATGTGTAACTCGTAGGTTGATAGTTTATCAGTTGCACTTGTGAATTTATTCTATATCCGCTTTTTTTGCCGCGTGACTTGTTGGAGATCGGACAACAGCCGAAATAGCTCAGTTGGGAGAGCGTTAGACTGAAGATCTAAATGTCCCCGGTTCAATCCCGGGTTTCGGCAAGTCAGTCACTTTCCTTTATAGGATTAGTGTAATTTTTTTTTAAAATTATTTTATATATATTATTATTCTATTTATTTATTTAGACAGTCTAAGAATTTTTCTTTGGAATTCTAAGAACTTAATGTGTTTCCGTGGTGTAGTGGTTATCACATCCGCCTAACACGCGGAAGGCCCCCGGTTCAATCCCGGGCGGAAACATTCGGCCCAATCCTCATTTGGAGTTTTTTTTTTGGTATTTTATGAGATTAATTATCTCGTTATAAACAATATTAGAGCATACGTCAATTAAGGTTAATGACCTTCATGAGGCAAATGCAACTTTGGGTAATCTAGAGAGAGAAAGTTTTTACACTTAAGGATACTTCTCAACCCCCCACAGTCCACACAGGTCAACAGCATATCATGCATGAAAGAAAAACAACTCTCTCTGTCTCTGTCTCTGTTTCTCACTCTCTCTCTCTCTCTATCTGTTTGTCATAGGTTTTCCTGGACAGACCGAAATGTCTGGAGCTATTCGATGTTTTAGCAAAAATAGCAAAACCAAAATAGCAATAGTTGCCGGAGCAATCTGACGGTCTAACGATCTGCGGTCTGGTCGTCATTTGAGTAGTACAAAAATAAATAATGAGCAATAGTCAAGCGCCAAGCGCCAAGCGGCAAACGCCAATGTTTTCCATCTGTCTGACAGTCTGTCTGTCAAGCATAGATACATATATTAAGAACGACAAACGCTTTAATATGCTTTCATTAGTCAAGGCAGGCAATGGGAGGGATCAGCATCGGTCGTCGCCTGTCGGTCGGGGTAATTAGACTCCATTAGTGGCAATGGCAGACACTTCCTTGAAGCATACAGAAATTGATGCAAAGTGCTCAGCTGTCTCCAGCAATAGCTGCGCTTGTATCTGTGTATCTATATCTATGTATCAGTATCTGTTTGTGTATCTGCATGTGAGTTATGCGCACCATGTGCTAATTTTGAAATGTATTATGCATGCCTGTGTCTGTGTGTGTGTGTATGTTTGTATGTGTGGGTAATGGTGGCACTTGATGCGGCGCTCATAATTTTTGAGCCATTAGACAGACTGATGCATAAACTCATTAAAATATACTTGAATGCCTCAAAATATGAGGCGACGCGTTGCAATGCTGGATGCCATGGCCATTTGGCGTCGCATTTGCTTAATTTGTCGAGCAGTGACAAATGACAAGGAGCAGCCAGCCAACAGTCACCCATTCCCAGACGTACACTGTTCCTCCCTCCCCCACCCATCTCCCAACATCTGCCCATAGAGACATGTATACAATGTGACAGTTTGATGCGCAACAAGATAGATTGGCTTACAGCGACGATGGAGATGGAATTGCATGCACCGGAGATGGAGTTGTTGCCGGAGCTGGGGCTGAAGCAGAAGCAGAAGCTGGTGTTCGAGTGTTCGAGTGTAGCCATTACGCAATTTGAGACAACTCAAGCAAACACTTGAGATTGTTGCCTTAGGGATATGTTGGTTGCTGCCTGCTGTTGTTGTCAGAGTGTCGACATTAATGACGTTGGTTATTAGCGCTGCCAGCTATTGAAGATGTTGCACAGCGTCATTCACATTAGTAGCTGCCACATCTTAAGTGGCCTATCCGGCCAGCCCATTAGGGATAGGTCAAGGTGTGGCAGCACTGAATCGTTAAAGCCACAAGTGCCATCGTTAATTATTAATATCTTTAATAATAATCTTGAACTGTGGTCTTTTGCTTTATGGGTGTAGCCATTATAATCTCAATATTCTACGGGTTTTACGGGTAGTACGAAAAAGAGGACGCCCAAGCTTTTAGCCTATAGAGACTCAAAAAGACAGACAATACTTAGGAAATTTAATATTCGTGTAGAGATTTATATAGTAGATAAACCATATTATAGGCTGGTATTCCTCACTCAAGATCGTTTCTTGACTATACGATATGGACGTCCGATGGCCATAAAATGTTGCTCAATACACTAAAAATTTAATAGACTTTCCTAACACCAAAAAAGTAGTGTGTAACTTTTTATATAAGAGGTATATTTTTGACCAATCGTTCTCGTTATTTGTAATAATTTGTAGATTAACCAGACAGAATAGATTGTGGAAGGAAGACAGGAGCAACGACAAGTATTAGATAACAGTTAAATATTGGCGTATTTAGATATATGTATTTAAACATCAAAAACGTTCACTAATATAATTATATTAGATATATGGTGTTCATAAATCATACTTTCTTCGATTTATCACTATGACGGCTTATCACTAAGATATCAAAAGTGTGCTGAATCAGTGAAGGAGTTTCCTAAGGTGATCTTAGGAATTTACAGTGGCAAAATGAGTCACAATAATTATGCACATTGTGAAATGTATCGTCAGGTTCTCACTACCAGTTCGCCTTATCAGGGATTAGGTCAATGTGGGATCGGCATATAAAAATGGTTGGCCACACGTTGCCATGAATCACAGATACGTAGAAAAGTGCCGCCGTCTACTATCTATCAAATCAGTGTAATTCCAATCTAGATATATAAACATATTTGATATCAGTTTGCTTTAAAAACACAAGAACCTGTCCATTCGAAGTTAGTTTGGGCATAGCCTCCGAATCGAACGAACAGTCAACTAACTGAACCAAGTGAGCAAAATGGCAATTGGAGACGTCATCACAGTGGAGGTGGAACGCGACCCGCGGCCGGATTACAGGTTTGCCGGCTGCTGTGTCAATCGTCAGAGATTGCATTCCTTGATCACAGGTGAATGTTGGAGATTTATGTATCTATAACAGTAGCGGCCAACTTTTGCGAATGTGTTGATCAATGCAAAGCTCTCCATTATAATTGCTAGTGTATCGTATAAAGCACAAAAGCTTTCTTCGTGTATGTGTGAAAGCTCGAGCAAAAGCTTGATCGACACTGATTTAAAACAAAAGTGCTGGTGTTGTGGAACATAATAATTATTATAATTTATGTAAAGTAAATTATTATCAAAAAAACAAAAAAACATTTCCGTGAAGTGCGAAAACTTATTTGAAATTTTTGTGTCCTTTCGCAGGCATGGTACTGTTTTCGTACGGCGGCATGGATATGGCTCAGGGCCTGGGATGGAATATGTACACCGGCAACGCGGACACACAACAGTTTTCATTCAGTTGGTTCATTGGCTTCATTATTGGAGCCGTTTTGGGTGCCCTCGCTGTGACCCACGTGGCAAAGTTTTATTTCTATGTGAGTTACAAAACATCCATCTACATTTAAGATTGTTCGATTCTAATGCTTTGAATATCCATTTAGTGCGTCGCAATAGTGACGAATCTGGTGGATGCGATCATCTGTGTGAGTGCACCATATAACTATGATGCTATGGTGGCAGCTCGATACATTGGCGGTATTGGCATTGGCTTTGCAACCATCGCCTTTCTCATACACAACTCGGAGGCGGCACCAGACACAGCCCGTGGCAAATGGTGTGCCGTTGAGCAGTCCGGCATGGGTCTGGGCATTGCCGTACAGGTGATCATGGACTCTGACTGGAATCCGTACAATAACATTGCCGCCAACCAGGTGCACGGCATCATAGGAATTGTGTTTTCCCTCGTTGCCATAGGCATACTGATATTGTCCGTGGAGTCTCCCATCTATCACTTGCGCCGCAACAATTACAATGAGGCAAGCGACTGCCAGTGGCAACTGTTGGAAAAGAAGGCGACCTCAAAGGACTACGATGCGGCCTTCGAAGAAAAAAAGACTTACGTGTCTGAGGGTGTACATGAGAGCATAGGCCATGATCTAGCCGTCGCCGTGGTCCCATTTATAAAAATGTTGATTTGCCGCTGCTTGGTCGCATTCAGTTTCTCAATTCCGCTCACCCAAACAATCATTGCAAGCACCATCGTCTGGCAGGGAACCATGTACGCCTGGCCAATCATCGTTTGGAGAGTCTTGCGGTTTCTCGGAACAATCATAGGCATTGTGGTCATGGATTTCCTGGGACGCAAGTTGCTCACAATTGTCGGACTCGCCTGCATGGGTGGCCTAATGCTTGGCATGGCTTCCATCTATTCGAACGTGCTCTTTACCATCAGTACGTATTACATGGGTGAGCTATGTCGCATATCCATGGTATTCCAAATGTTTGCCGGCCTCTTTGTTGCCTGTACGCCCGCATACTTGGGAGAGGCGTTCCCCATGCGCATCAAGCCATTCCTCATTGCCCTGATTGTAATCATTGAGCAGTTGATTCACATCATTGTGATTTGCACATTCAAAACCAGTCTGCATACCTTCTACCAGTACTATTTGGCTGTGGGCATCATCCTGCTCGTATGCATGGTCTTCCTTTTGATAACACTCCCGGAGACGAAGAAGACGACGCTGCGAGAGGCTGGCCATAGATTCCGTCGCCTGCATGACATATTCGCCCATTAAGGAGGTGTCTCGAAAAATACCTTGTTAGACAACGTAACCAATTTGTAGCTATGATATATATTCAAAGTAACATCAAACATATCATATATTATATAGCAATGATTTTCAACCTGAGAGGTCTTGTCTTAAGTTTTATTTAAGAGCAATTTGGGAATCATCGTAGCTTTACTCGCGGCTAAATAGACAGTTAGCAATCTAATGTATTATAACACGAAAAATAAAATGATAAAAATTAAACAATTTGAAACACAAAAAGTTCAAGTTAATCCAAATGCAACCAATGCAATATAATCCAATCAACAGAATTAAATGGTATTTTTAATTCTATAATAGGTATTATAACCACTTAAATAATGAGTAATGAGTAAATGTATATAAATATATATTTATATCATTTAATTTAAAATACAAAATATACAAAAATTCATCAAAAATGTGTTAAATAAATTATGATTGATGAAGTATGATTTAAAATACAAAATACAAAATACATCAAAAATAAAGTATGATTGCTTTTTTTAATTAAAATATATAATACTTTTATTATAATATATTTAAATTTAATATATCACTAAAATTGCGCTCACATTCTTGTAAATAAAATATACTACATTAAATTCGATTACAACTAAGTATAGAAAAGCATTTTACAATTTAGCCTTCAGTCGCAGATATTTGTTTGGTAAATCAAAGGAACACATATAAAAAAATCGTAAACGTGTTTTATTGTTAACTAGTTTGTATTGGTAAACACTGGAATCAATTTATGGCATACGCCACTCTATAACGAAGTGGAATTAGTGTTATCTCTACTTGTGCAAACCATTGGTAAAGTTGTGCAAATGAATAAAGCAGGTAGAGCCAAGTTGATAAAATACCAGCGCAGATATTAAGTTTATCATGTCAATCAAAATGATAATTTTCAATTATCATTTATGTGTTGCGATTATTGAATAATGTCCGTATCAGTTTTTGGGGGCGTGGCGGATGTAGCCAAGAAATTTTTTCCAATTTTAGAGATTACTCGTAATCTATCTTCCAAGTTCGGTAAACTTGGATAAAAATGGAATATATAGGAAATTCAGATTTTTGTAGGCGACGTCTTCTTTTTGAAGTGTGTTACGTGTAAAATACCTACAAAATGTGGGACATCCCGATTTTTGGACCTGACTGGCTTGGTGTTCTCACCGTTAAACTAACATCAATAGTATATCGAACAAAAATTATATTTGCTGATTCCATTAAGGTTTCTCCCATGAGTCACAAATGTCAGTTGTCCTCTCCGTCATTGATAACAAACACAGCACTTAAAATTAAATGTTCGTTATCAGTGCTCACTTGGGGACTCCGCATAAGAAAGATCGGATGAATCATGACCATATCTGAACTGCCAACTGGTAGCTGGGCCAAAAAGCAATGAAATTTATGGTTTAGATATCGAAAAATTGATTAAAATATCTATACTTTATCAAGAAGTATATATCGTATATTTAGATAACGTGCTCTCTGCTTTACTAATGAGTACAACTAAAAGGTATCTATTTTAAATTAGTGTTGAACAAACGTTAAGCAGTTTAAGTTCGCTTTGCATGCGAGTTGTACTTTAACATTGTGCAAAATGACAACCAGCATAACAACGGGGCAAGCACCGCCGGTGATTATAGCCACAACTACAACTACAACCACAACCACAACTGGACAACCACTACCAACCACCTACGTTGAGGTGATCGAAGAACCACAATCCCAGCGCATTTCCAATCGCTGGACAAATACTCAAAATGCTCACGCTGCAACCCTGGGTGAGTGCTGAAGTAAAAAAAATATATCCCGATATAAGTTCCTGATAAGATAATTTATTTTTATTTTTTTTATTGCGTTCCATAAATACGTCTTTTTAATTTGAACCTTCATAAAAATGTCTACAATTATGTCTGTTTGTAGATGTAATTACAAAGTAACTTTTATTATGCATAATATTGGAACACAAGTTATTATGTTAAAATATTAGTTTATAATTCAAATACAAATGAGATTTATTGGCCATCAGGACTATTGCTATTTGCTTATGGCGGCATGGATATGGCCCAGGGCCTACAATGGAATCTGAACACGGGAATCACGACAACATATCAGTTGGAGTACAGTTGGTTCATTGGCGTCATCATTGGAGCTGTGGTGGCCGCTTTCACGGTGACCCACGTGCCAAAAAAGTATCTTTATGTAAGCAATAAAGGCAGGTCAAAAAATGTAATTTCTAATCTTTGTTGTGCCTCTAGCTGCTGGCCGGAATATTGCAGCTGATCGATGCAATCATCTTTGTGAGTGAGCCCAATGACTACACATCAATCGTGGCAGCTCGCTATGTCGGCGGAGTGGGCATAGGACTCCTCACGGTCGCCTTCATCATACACAACTCGGAGGTTTATTTGGGCTTTTCGCGTGGCAAATGGTGCGGCCTGGAACAGTTTGGCATGACACTGGGCATACTCATCCAGGTGCTGATGGACTCACAGTGGCACTCGTCCTCATCCTCGAGCATTACTATTAATGAGGTACATGGCATCATTGGTATTGTGTTTGCCGCATTTGCGACGAGCTCCGTTGCCATGTCAGTTGAGTCGCCCATCTTTCATTTGCGCCAAGGTGATGAGAATGGAGCCCGTACCAGCCAGACTCATCTCTTGGGCACCGCAACGCCACAGGATGTGTACAATACCCTCTTTGACGAGTACAAGCGTTACGTTATGGAGGGTACTAGCCAAAGCTTTGGCAAACAGCTCGCAAGTTCCGTAGTGCCCTTCATTAAGATGATCTTCTGTCGCTGTCTGGTGGCATTCTCCTTCTCAGTGCCCCTAAGTTTAACCATGTTGGGCAGCACGCTAATCTGGAAGGCATCTATGTTAAGTTGGCCAATGATTTTGTGGAGCATTTTACGTTTCATTGGCGCACTTCTCGCAATCTGCTCGGTGGATTTAATTGGACGGAAGTTCGTCTCGCTCGTGGGACTGCTGTGCATGTCGGCTCTAATGCTGTCTCTGGCCGGGATCACTGCCCATGATACCTACTACACAAACACGTACTTTATGTCGCAGGTGTGCCGCATCTCGATGGCTTTCCAGTTCTTTGCTGGCTTGTTTGTCATCAGCACCCCGACATATTTGGGTGAGGCGTTTCCCATGCGGGTTAAGCCCTTCCTCATTGGCCTGGTTGTGTGCATCGAGCAGCTGATCCACATCATTGTGATTGTTACATTCCTGAAGGACGCCTACTGTTTCTTTCAATACTTTGTTGGTGTTGGCATTATCTTGGTTGTGGGTCTGATTATCTTTGGGGTACTTATGCCAGAAACACGAGGATTATCGCTCCGACAGGCTGGCGATCGTTTTCGTCGAGTACATGATATCATAGCTTACTAGGACTACAGCATATCATAGCCTACCAGGAGGAAGGGTATATCCAAACATGCCATTTGACACATTTGTGACCAAGATCAAAGCTTGTATTACGCCAATTTAGATTTGCACTCGAAAACTACAAAATGTGTTCTGTTCATTTTAAATTAAAGCTTTTGAAGCTTCTTTTAACATTATTTTTAAAATAGTTATATGTAAAATGCAGTTCATTTATTTTCTATTTACATATATGCAATTTATTATTTTAAAATTGTTTTAAAAGTAAATGAAACTGTGCACCAATATTAAAAGTATATTCAATTCTGGCTTTAAATATGGCAACAACTTTTATATAGCGCAACGTGTTTTATTTTTAAAAAATTAGGAAAATGGTTTTCACAATGGTTATCAATCAATGAAAAAAAAAAATGTTGGTCTGCAGACAAACTAAGGAATTTTAAAGCAACATCATTTATTGTTTAAAAAAATTATCTCCACTTTACTTTATCTATTTCCTTATTGAGTCATCGATGCTGCAGTATAAATCATTCATTGCCACAAGTCATAACAGAAAAATTGATGAAAGGGTTGACACACGGAAGTCCATTCAGATAATGATTGCTTTGAGATCGTGCAAATGTCTTCCTTTATTCCTCTAAGCGGCTCTGTCATATCCCAAGAGCGACTTTTAAATACCACGAAAGAGTCACATTTCACAAAAAAATCAAGCAGTTGAAACAACTAAGAATGTTTTACAATTTAACTTTAGCACAGCTATTAAATATAATAAATTGATTAAAACACTTCACAGGTTCTACCTATATAGCCAAATTTATACTTAAAATGGCCTTCCACTTTAAAGTATAAAAAAATGTTAAGCCAGCTTTTACGACCTTATTTAATTTACATGCCAAATTTGGAGTCTGTAGCTTTTATAGTCATACTGTCTGAGATAGTATATGGGCTATCAACCCATAAAAATAGAAATGGATTTTCTACACATAAAAACTTCTGGCAATATATAATTGCCTAAAAGGATATCAAGCTATGGAACTTCCATATCGATTTTAATTAATTGCAACGATCTAGTAAAGTAAAATAGTTATATATTTGATATGTTCACTGGAGTAGAATCAATCCTGCATTGGTTATAAAATTGGCTCATTCGCCACTGACAAAGTACAAAATATAAAAAAAAAGTAATTTAAGTAAATTAAGGACTTTTTCATGTTCAATGACCTCCTAAAGAGGAAGTATAAACTAATTCCGATAACAATGAAAAAGTTATAATAAAATTCATGAATCAACAGTTCCTTTGCGTGCAAAAAAAAATCCCATAATTGGCTAAGTCCAAAGGTTTTGCGTTACATTTTGTATGGAAAGCGTCAGTACCTGGAAAAATGAATCAAAATCAAAGCTCAACTGTTTCGTATCAGGTTTCGACTGGCCAGGGGGCAAGTGAAGAGTACTCGTGTATAACTTCTGATTACAATAAATATATATATATATATACATTATCTACAATTAGATACTGGTATCTCCAGTCTTTTTAAGCCTATAAATGAAAAAAACCTTGTCAATTCGAGTTCAGTTACGGCGTAGCCCTCATATCGAACGAACCTTAAGCGACCAAACTGCCGCGAGTTAAATAAAAATAGTGAACAAAATGACAATAGTCGTTGCCACGACGGCAGCACCGCCAAATACAATATATGTGACCACCGAGAAAGGACAAGTGCCACCACAAACCAACTATATACCTCCGCCACAAGTCACCTATGTTGAGGTCAACCAAAGACCGAGGCGATATGCCTTCAAGCAGCAAACGCACTCAGGAGCTGCAGGTAAGCAAAATATTGTTAATAATAATAATCAGCAAAAGGAATGGAAATGTACATCATATGCACTGGAATACCTCTTTTTAAGTTTCAGTTCGTACAGAAAAAAATACCGACGTAAATCGAATTTTTCACATTTAGAATATTATATTAGAATATTTATTTTATAAATCAAAACAACGCTCAGTTGTTCGCGTACCATTTTAAATTATAGCAAATGAAGTCAAGTTAAACGCACCCCAACCATATGCACAACTAATTCTTCTTCGTTTATACGACAGCTGATATCTCGTTATTATATCAGTATTTTCTCCACAAAGTGTACATTCGTGCTTGAGAGCTTAAATTAATAATTGATTTATATATCGAATATTTAAGTATTTTTATAAACGTATGTTTGTACACTTGTTCATTTCAGAATGGTTCCTATCGTGAATAGATTGATTGATTCCTATTATCGAAAAAGTTAATCAGAAATGAGAAAATGTGAATGTTGTCACTAAATTCTTGAGAATCGAAAAGCCTTTTTTGCTTCAAGTGTAAAAGAATGTTAATATTGATAATTGTGACTGGAATTGTGCCTTGAACTTGCAGCTCCAGAATCTTTCCTCGAACAAATTAGATTTAATGGCTTAACAATTAAATGTGCGCAAAATAGCACTGAAACCCATAAAATGTTTCCTATCTTTAGAAATAATTAATGTATATGTGAAATCTTATGTTTTTCTTAATGTTCATAATAATGCAAGCAAAAAAAATAGTATTAGAAAACAGCCAGAAAACTAGATATGGATTTTCTGAATTAAAAAAAAAAGGAAGAAAGAAAGACGCGAGCTTTTTTAAGTGTAGATACAGGGAGATCTATTTTATTTTTGTTTTAATACAATTTATTAATTGAGAACTATATTCGGTTGACAGGCACTATGCTGTTTACCTATGCTGGCATGGATATGGCCATGTGCCTAGGCTGGAATTTAAATGCAGATGTATCGTCCACTCGTGAATTAGATTATAGCTTTTTTATTGGAATCATCATTGGAGCTCTTGTAGCAGGTCTTTCTGTTAGCTACTTGCAGAAGTGGATTTTCTACGTGAGTATCAGATTTTATAATTAAAGTTCGCATGAAATTATCAATTCTGTCTCAAATTTATAGAATTTGGCCGGAGTTATGTTGATGATTGATGCCATCATCTGTGTGGCCAATCCCACCGAATATGCCTCAATGGTGGCGGCTCGCTACGTTGGCGGAGCGGGCCTTGGGTTGCTCACCGTGGTTTTCATCATACACATAACGGAGGCATCGACCAGCAATGAGCGTGGTAGATGGTGCGGCGTGGAGCAGTCCGGTTTAGCGTTGGGCATTGCCATCCAGGTGATCCTGGACTCACAATATTCAAGTTATGATGCTCTAACTGTCACTCAGGCACATGGCATCTTTGGCATTGTATTTACCGTTTTTGCCACATCCCTATTGGCTTTTTCCATCGAGTCACCCATTTTCCTACTACGTAAAAATAAAGAGGACAAAGCTAAATTATGCCAGTGGCAGCTTATGCCTCCGGTTACAAGCACAGCAGCCTTCGAGGAGGCCTTTGCCGAGGTCAAGCGATATGTGGAGGAAGGCAATAGCCAGAGTATCGGCGTACAGCTCTCCAAATCCGTAATGCCCTTCATTAAGCTGCTCTTATGTCGGTGCCTGGTGGCATTCACCTTCTCCCTGCCACTGAGCCAGGCAATGCTAATAAGCACAATTGTTTCCGAAACATACCTAAACTGGACCGTTGTTGTGTTTGGCCTTCTGCGCTGGATCGCCTCCTATTTTGCCATAAGCCTGGTGGATACTTTGGGACGCAAACTGACTTCGGTGCTGGGACTGGTGTGCATGGCGGGTCTGATGCTGGCCATGGCGGGCATCTTGTCGGACGGGATGAGCAGTTTGTATTACATGTATCAGATATGCCGCATCTCGATGGCCTTTCAGTTCTTCGCTGGCATCTACGCACCCTGCACCTCGGTCTATTTGGGCGAGGCATTTCCCATGCGTGTTAAGGGCTTCCTCATTGGTCTGATTGTGTGCATTGAGCAGCTGATCCACATCATTGTGATAGTCACTACAGTCAATCTGAGCATTGACATGTTCTACCAATACTTTCTGGCTGTGGGAATCATTCTGGTGGTGAGTCTACTCATCTTGGCGGTACTGATGCCAGAGACAAAGAAACTAACGCTGCGGCAGGCGGGTGAACGTTTCCAACGTGTACACGATATCAAGTCATACTAGGAAGGAGATCACATCAATGTACATGAATTGTTCAAAATACAAATGACAAGTTTGTTTCTTCATGCGCCGCATCAGCTGCAGCAGCAGGCTGAAAATAAATGTAAATTACTCTGCATCCAAATAGGATTAAATGTCTCAGTGTCTTAGACTAGTTTGCAGCGGATTTCTGCCCATGCACTTACAGCAAATAAAGTATATCATAGTCGAGCATTTGCTCGCAGCTGTTTCATTTTTTGACTTTTATGAAAATTTATGTCTCCTCGAATGTTTAATGCTGTTAATTTTCACACAACGCCGCCGACGAAGACTATTTTTATAAGCTTGCGGTCGACGCGGTTTTATTTAATTATTTATCATTTGTGAGTGTGTTTTTTGTTTTTTTTTTTTTTGGTAACTTTATTATGATCTAATTTATGTATCTGCTGGATAAACTTCCTTGGTCTCGTGAATTATGTGGCGTTATAGAGCATTATAGTTTGTCTAGCAGCAATATCGGCTTATGGCTGTACGAATTTTGACACATCGCCGTCGTTGTTCCGTGAACTTTGTGTGGAAGTCGAAAATGCTGTTTTTAATCTGCTGCCCAACACTTCATCAGTCTTTATCCCACTTTTCTGGATTGTATAGTTTTCACGCATAGTTTAATATGGTTTTTTTTTTATAATTTCTGTTGGCAACAGCTGCCGTTTCAAGCTGCACGTATAAAGTAGACTTGGACACGTGTCGTGTTTTCTTTACGTGATACGAACAAGCATACGATGATATCACTAAAAATGAGAATATTCCCATTTTGCTCAAGATACATATTTATTTTATGTAACATTTTTGACACACATACATATATTTTATTCAAATAATAAAGTTAGAATTAAAAAATTAATAAAACCAGACTATAATCTCTATGGTTTTTGATGAAACACAACACGCTTTTAGCACTAAGAAATGCGAAAGTTATTTAGGAAGATCCCAATTTGTACTAATTAAAAGAGATCGACAAATAAGAATAAAATAATCTTAAATAATAAATACACAAATTAATAAATATTAATAAAATGAAAGGTCAATGAACTGAAAATCTTGTCATTTTTGGCACAATACCACTTTATGACATTAAGAATTAATCTGCTATTCTTTAGCAGAGATACTTATGGGCATAATAAATAAAAAAGCATTACGAGTTGAATTAAGAGCAAACATTTCAAGAGATTTTCTATTTGAACAAAGGAGACAACGACAATACAGAGCATTACATGAATCACAATTAAAATAATTGTGAATTGGTTGTAAAAAAGATGCCTGGCCTACCAAGAAACCAGGCCATTACATTGTGCAAAAATGCGCATAAAAATTGCATTAAAATATCTTGAAGATAGAAACCTAATGAAGGAATGGCAATAAAGGACAATTGCAGCACTAACATTCAACAAACACCCCAACCATGGCCGGGAAAAAGTTTCCAATGCCCTTAAATGGTCCACACACTCGTAAATACTTAAATGCTGACAGAGATGGGGTAACACATTCTGTTGGCCAATTGAATTCAATCGACAAGCTGCAAAATGCGTGCAAAAATGGTTTGTGCCACGATATGTTTTTCCTTTGGTAGCTTTAACAGCATTTCCCATGCGAGGCAGCTAGTGAATTAAATGCAAGTTCGTGATTTTGCACTTCAATTAATAGAAATGGAAAATGCCACTGGCACAATGCACGTCTCCTGCACAAAGTGACAGATCAGCCCCAATCGCCTGCCCCTGCAGCTGGTTGTAATAAAGTTCAGCGAAATGGAAGGAATCTAATAGATTTGAGCTGGGGTCTGCCAAGGAAACTGCATTTAATTGAGCGAATGTGCGTCCACCGGAATAGCACAGTAAATTAACTGAGCCAATACATTCTTGTCCTGAGTTTACATTAGAAAGTCATCAGAGCTTGTTTTGGTTTCTTGAGGATTTACCTCCTAGCTAAGTCTTCTGAAGACTAAGTGTATTATTCATAAAACTTATTCTTTTATTGGCAGTCAGCTTACAAAACTAAATTAAACTACTAAAACTTACTTGATTTAACGCCAAATTTGGTGAAATTTTATCCCCGTAAATAAATCTGAGAAATAAATGAAAGGCAAAAATATTATTTATCTTTATAAGCTAATGGTAAGTCTATTTTATTCACTCTGAAAAATAATAATTATAATGTTAAGATTGGTTTATATACTCTGAAAACTGTTAACTATAAGTTTACGAATGGTAAACTCCTGGTAAAAGTTTATTATATATTTATCCGAACTTGAATAGTTTTTTATATCACTAAAAAATTATATTATATTTTTATTCAATTAGTAGAATTGTTGGAGTAAAAAAGGAACGCAAAATATTTGTATAGCTTTAATAATTAAATATGATTTTATATAGATGAGATCGATGGGTTTCTAATTGATGCTAATTAGATGTTTACAATGTATTAAGAAGACTTTTGTGTTATTGTTTTGGAGTAAAAAGAGCTGTGGATAAATTGGTCTTTGAGATGTACGAGGAACAATCTAAACTTGAATAAACAACTGTGTTCACTCACACATTAACACCAATTGTTAAGCTTATTATAAAGTAATGCAATGCAACAGGCTACATTCGATTTAATTTAAGCTACTAGAAATGCCTACTTCAATGGCAACAACATGTAAGCAGCAAATAATAATAATAATAAATAAAACTACTTAGCAAAATGTAAACTGCATAGTCTGGATTTACAGTTGTCAGTTTGACAGCTGTCACAAATCCCTTGTGTGTCTGATTTGTATCTAGAACAGAGCAGAACTTTGTACTGGCATCGAGAAATCTATAAATATAGCAATTAACAGAATCCTATGCCCTGCTCAAGTTTTGTTAGCACAACTCGAGTGCGAGTTACAAAACTCTAAATGTTATAGGTAGAATACTTTTGAACTTTGGCTTATTTGGGACTGACACGTTTCGCACCTGTTTCAAGCGAGTTGTGGAAATACAAGCGACATGAGCCTTGAATGATTGATAGTTGGTGTGAGTGACTGTGTGTAAGAGACTAACTGAGTGAATGAATGAGTGAGTGAGTGAATGTGGAAGTTTGTTAAAATGTTGACAGAGCCCATGACCCAGCACAGGCGCTTTCCATTTGCCTACAACGTCTCCATCTGTCAGCTGTCAGTTTCGCACGCTGGCAGGCTCTCTGAACTTGGTATTTTAATTGAGTTTCGAGTTCACAAAACTCGTGTACCAACTGTAACTGCAAGCGAAGATTTATGCGATTTACTTAGGCCACTTGCCACGCATTCAACCAGGTCATAAAACGCTACTTAGGCATTTAAGCAGCTGAACAATTTTATACTTTTACAGAGGGTGTGCGAAATATGATATGCTGTTGGGAAACCAAAAAAAAAAAAAATAAATAAATAAAATACAAGAAGAGATTATCGCACAGATTCTAACTTAAAAAACTTATACAAATTAATAATTTAAAATATGGTAGAAACACGGAAGTTTTAGTTGTGACAACTCTAAGGCTTTACAGGCGTATTTAAATTTGCATAAACGGAAAAGTTTTCCGTTTTCATTTCCAAAGCGAAAACTAAAAGCTTTCCCTTTTGAAAAAAATCACAACTAAAAGAATGAGTAATTTCCCAATTTGTAGAGAAATATGTATTTGTTTATTTCATTACAAAACTGAACGAAAATAAATGTATCTGATTTGTGCAGGTAGCTTTTTTTGTCATAATTTACAATTGCTGCTGATATTCAGCAGAAAATATAGAAGAGTCCGATAAGTCACATATATAGATATATATATATATTAAAGTTCTGCACCCATACAGAATCAAGAATCTTTCTTCTTTTCTTTGACTCTAAACATCAAATCGAGCGAAAGAGTATGCATGATTCTATATTGTAAGAGTCATAAAGTTTTCCTAGTTTAGCTGCTAGCTGGTTTAACTTTTATTGAACAAACAGTTGGAAATGGTAGATGCCGTGTTGAATTGGTTTTTATGGCTTTGCTGCAACGCTGCGTATGCGCAATGCCTGCCCCAGCTCGCCTTTAACCCAGTTTGTTTAGCCCACAGCTTGTTTCTGTTATCATTAACACCTTTTGTTGTTGCCGTTGGGCTGCTTTGCCTGTGTGTTAATTGGTGAAGCAGGTCATAGGAAAATTCGTATATGAAAACACTTTGGGACGGTGGCAGGTGACTTAGCAACCTTGTCCTTCTTGCGAATCATTCGAATCGAATCGAATTGAATCGAAATAAAAATGTAACAAATGTCTGTGCCTGTCTCGCTAACTGATAAGATGCACGCATTGCGTATACGCAGCGTTTGCCTATGCAAACAAACAAATAAATGATTGTAAATAAGTTTAAGTGAGCTATAGAAAAGTGAGTGGCTCGTCCGTCGGCTTGTTTGTTTCTCGCCAACTCGACAAACACACCGACAGCCATGTAAACACAAACATTTCAAGTGCCAACAGAGAAGGAGAATAAAAAGATATAATAAACTGTTGTGATTGCAGGTAAATAGTCGAGTACTCAGAGTGAAGGCAGGCGACAACAGCATTGAGACTTGTTCAGCCTGCAGCTTCTCATTATTGATAGCTGTTCATTTATCATGCCGACTGTTTTATCTATATTCCCCCCCCCCCCCCCAACCCACCCCAACCCCCATCTGATAAGCGTTCCAAAAGTCAACGATCTTGTGTTGGGGCTGGGTATCATATTGGTATACGTATCCAATATCACTATCACTATCCATAAAATCAGCTGCCAAATTGCGCACTGCACTATAAATAGAATGGGATGACTGGCGAACAGGTAGTTCTATGATTCCATAAACACAAATGAGTAATGCAAACATATAACAAATAAACAAACGGAATGACAAAAATGCTATAGTTAACGCTTCACTGGACAAGGGGGAACATCTACATATATATACATGCTTATAGAGAATGCCTGAGCATGGGAATCAAAAAGCTAAAGATACGTCTCACTGGAGCGCAACTATTTGCGATGGCTGCCAGAGAGCTGATGGTATTTAAATTTTAAAAATCCTTAAATGCAGATGATTCCGAACAGAGATCGAAATAAATGACAAAAAATATATCAGATAATCAGATATAGATAATTACGGAAATAGGATAATTATAAGAAAAGATAGAGCAGTTTGTATTTGAATTTTTATAAAATAAATGTTGGAACGTGAATTTCTGTTCTGTTCTGTTCTGAGAAATATATTAAATGAATAATCCGCCAAAATTATGGCAAATTTGTAAGATTCAGGGCGATGTTTCATCTAACTAAGAATTCTAAAGAATTCAAGTCGGAGTCAGCTGTGGTAGACTTTAACTGGTTTCTTTACAAGTAATGCATTTGCTTTGTTGATCCGCGTTTGCGAATATGAATATATAATTTAAATAAATTTTATGGTATCATAAATAACTTATCCGTGTTAATAGCGATAACAAGTAAGGGAATATTTATATATACATATTTAATGTCAGATCTGCGCATAAATTACAATTAAAGGCAATTGCAATAACCGTGTCGGTTTGAAATTAGAGCTGCAACTGGTAATTAATTGATTTCACGAGTGAGCCATAACCATAAGGCACAAAGTTACATTAATTATTCAATAATAATAATTCATCGAACATTGGCCAAAGCAGAGAAATTATTTATACCACGTCGGCCAATGTAATTGTCATGTTTGTAAGCAGTTGCCGGTCTTTTGTTAACGGCCTGTCATTTGTTGGTTATGACAGGCTCGTCACACACCCACACACATCCACACACACACTATGTACATGTGTGTGTGAGTTTGGTAGTTGAATGGAGCATGACATAAGTAAATGTGTTTTTGGTTTTCGGCTGTCGGCTGTCGGTTGTCGTTTTACCTTTCCTGCTGTTGACTTTGACAAAATGCTGGCATACATATTATTATGTAACATGCACAAAAAGACTTAACAGTTCTAGCAAAGCAAGGTCTGGAAATGATATATTTAATTCGATTTATCACAGCAGTTCTGAAGACATGGGAACAGGCTGAAAATATTCGAAGGGCACATTCCATTACTAAATGTGACATGACGAGCTGAGGCGAATCGATTTGTTATAGACAGACAACAGCATCAGCAATAAAATGGCTTTTAATAATTCTTTATATAATGTGATGCATTGCATTTCACTCAGATGAACAATGTGCTTTGCTGAGCTGGAAATAAAAATGATTTTTAATGTACCTATTTCCGAGCGAGTAATGCTAATTGCGACTTTGATTATTTCATGACTATCGATTCATTTACTTAATTATTAGGCGTTAGGCACATCAATTTAATATTCTACACTTTGTATTGCTTGTTATCACTTTGAAAGTTTATTAACCAACACGCTGATTTATGGCCTACTTTCTAAGAATAAACGAACAAGGAAAGAAAACAATTGAACATTATCGATTCCCACAGACCATTAATAAAATTCGGGCAACACATTAATATTTGAAAACTCATGTGAAAAAAATTTATTTTCTATAAGAATGTGCGAAATCACCGCAAAATGCATGTGATGAAAAGTAGAAAGAGCAACTATCTGGTATATACTACATATATATATATATAGATACGTATACCCATCAGCCTGTTTGTTGATGTTGCTAAATTATCTCGAGCTTGCTATCGCCTTGATTAATGATTCCAAAAAAGCTTACCTTAAAATATAAAATAAATATTATATTTCTGCGAATTTTATAAAGTATCTTTAGGCAGCTGCAGTTTGTTAAAACAAAAAAATACTGCGGCACACTTGATAGATGTTTTTCAAATTACTCCGATTTGAGATTTGTAGTGTGCTTCAAATTGTTTAAAATTATTAACTGTTCTTATAAATGTTTAATGAAGTGGTCAATTTAGCCATGTCGGTCTGTATGAATAAGCTGATCTCAGAGACAGTAAGAGCTCGAGAAAATTTGGAACATATTGTATATCGTACTAAATCAGACTAAATTTATTTCACTTTATAGATATTTGCTCCCGATAAAAATCTATGTCTTATCGCAATAAAGGACACAATGGTCTACTTTTGAATGAAG